TGGTGCTAATGGTGGAGCTCTATGGCTCCTGCGGATAGTACAGGTGACACGTTGTTTATGTAAAGTTCCTCCTCCTCATCCTCATCCTGCTCCTGGGAGTCACACGCCTGGGACTCCGTTGCTTCTGACGGCATGGCTGCTGCTGCTGCTTTGGCTGGTGATGTGTCTGCTGCTAACGGGACTGCTGGTGATGCTACTGCTGCTGGGACTGGTGCTGGCTCAACTACTCTCTCCGCTGGTAGTGCAGGTGAAACGTTGTTCACATACAGCAGCTCCTCAGGCTCACACACATTTGCCGATGTGGCTACTGATGGCACTGCGGCGGCTGCTGCTGATGGCACTGCTGCCGCTGCTGCGGCTGTTGCGACTGACAGCACGGCTGCCTTGGCTGGTGCTGGCAGATCAGCTGCTCCTGGTGACCGCACAGTTGTGTTCATGTACAGATCCTCACGTACTGACTGCACAGCAATCACCAAACAGAGTGCATATCCATTATTAGTCTGGGGTGTTGAACAACAGGGCATTGCTGATCACAGGGCACTCACATGCATTACTCATACCTTCCATATTTGGCAATGCGCAATGGGCTTAATGCGCAATGGGCTTATACACAATCCTTGAACTTTCTACTAAAGTAGAGTATTTTCTATAGACATAGCATTTGTACTGCTGCTGTGGACATGGAAATACGGTCGCACGTGTACATGGTCTAGTGGCCCCAGGGTGCTGGCCATGCAGCCTTGGATAAGCGGTACACACATGCAGTTTATGCGCTGCAGCGCTGTAGTCGCATCGGATCAACATGTGCCCTGCACCCAGCGTTCTGTACGCGCTGAGGGCGCCGGCCACGGTCAATCGACCGGATTTCCATGTCCACGACAGTACGGTGATATTGACTGCCATGATCACAAATACAATACTATGTAGAACGTTCCGGCAGCACCGAGACTGCGCCTAGCCCCAATCCGTCAACACTGAGGTGTGCTGTGGATTTGTTTCGAGCCCAGCTACAGTGAAACCTGTCTAAGACGACAGTTCAAGGGACCTTCAAAACACGGTCTCCGTCACCAGGTGGTCTCCTTATTCAGGGTCATTTGACTGGAAATAGCATCTCTTGGTGCTGGTTTCAGTGGTCTTCTAGGACAGGTGTAGCCTTCTCCGAGCGGTCGCCTTGACATGTTTTCCTGTTAGTGCTGTGAAACGATTCCATTTTTTCCTTAGTGGCTTAGCTGATACCATAACAATCGGCTTATCGGCTACACGATTCTTATTGTAACTACATCAGTGCAATGTACATTCTGTGAATTTCAAAAAAATTACGAGTCCAACATCGCCAACGACGGAAAGCGGGTGCATAGATCCGATGATCCCGCAACAAGTCCGTCAGCCGTTCGGACTGACCAGACGAATACAGACAAGACAGAGGCGACGCACTGGTTGCAACCCAAGAGCTGATGGTGCCCTTCACCTGTGACTTCGCTGACTCCGGCGATGAAGTCAGAGAAGCCGGCCAGGGGTGCAGATCGGTGGATTTCGACACATGAGCTGATTTGAGGCGCACCAACAAGTAACTAGTTGCTTTTCCTGTCTATGCTCAAAATAGGCCTAGACGCCAGGCCTAGCTTGTCGTCGAGCAAACTGATTCGGGAACCGTCGACAGAACGGAAAACACGAAACTGAAGACCACTTTACTGTCTTTAGCTCAAGACTACTCGCACGTGGAGGGAACTCCAGCCCCTGCAGCTAGTGTAGACACATACTGAGCCTGCCAGTCCTGCATGCTGTATGTAAGAAAAGTAGTCAGCTGAAAAGACGGCGACGGTGATGGCGTCGATGTTTCTCAGATCGCGCTTGTACTTTTGCACATACAGTAAAACCTGTGACTAACGACCACCCCTTGGTGCCAGCAAAAGCGGTCTTTAGTAGCAGGTGGTCTTTAGTTAGAGGTTTGCACCGCGCCACCATATATGGATCCCATTACATTATAATTATGTACCGTAAAGCCGCGGATAAAATCCGGGCTTATGTATACAATAAATGAGGAGGCCGAGGGTTTATACTTTATGACCAATAAAAACTATTATAAAAACAGAGGTCCCCCGAGGTTTTTATAATTAGTTTTTATTGGTCATAAACCCAAGGCCGGAGCATTTATTGTATTTAGAATCAACCAGTAAAAACTCCTACTCAATCTCCAACAACAAAATTAGTGGACAGCTGTTATTTGTGTTTCTATGACAACTCGTGTGCTGGGGCAATTTTGTTGTCATTGGTTCAATTTCTTTTACCCTTCATAGGCGGCTATCAGATCATTTTCCTTATTCGGTCTATTTATAACCAGTATCTATGTGAGAGTGTGGTCTGTCTCCATGGTTACCGGTGTTCTTTTCATCAAACTATAGCCACTTCTCCTTGTTAGACCTTATCTGGAAGGCCCATTCTTGCATATTCCAACAGCAGCCAAGGGAGCTAGCTCTCTTGGTTATGCGGACTGGGTCCGATCCTAAAAAGCTGTTTTTATAAACTATTTTTATTGGATAGGATGTGATTATGTTCAATAAACGAGGGTTGTGTCAATTGGAGATTGACTTGGAGTTTTTACGAGTTGATTCTAAGGGCATGTTCGATTGGTAAGGATCGGGATCCAGATCTCAGATCCCTCGGATCCTTCAGATTCAACTGAACACTTTATTTTGGACCTTGACTGTTGCCATGTTGAAAATGGCACTCACAAGGCACCCAGAAGGGTGAACGTCGTACTCATCGCGTGCGTCGTACAAAAATCAACAAGCTCTATCTCCATCCACGTGTGCGTACCACAATGTGTACAAAAATGATTTTTACCCGCCATATACGCACAAAGTTCACATTTGGATCCGTTGGATCCGGTCAACCCTGCTCCCCGAGGTGGGTTGACCGGATCCAAATCCGAAGGATCCGGATCCGGATTCGACCAATTGAAAGGGTGCGAATCCAGTGGATCCGGTGGATCGGAATCCCGATCCTACCAATCGAACATGCCCTAAAAGCACATAAGCCGCTTTCTGCATCAGGCTTTAATGCAAACCAGGCTCGTATGCAAACCATGCTTATATGCACCACTGATATGTTTTGCCAGGCTTGTATGCACGCTTCTACGCGCGACACGCGTAGATCTACCACTGACTACCGGTATGGCGGCGGTTTTACTATGCACCGTACATAGCGCGTGCACTCTTAACCTACCCGATCCTCACTTGCATAGAAGCCAGGCTTCTACGCACGACAGGCTTATATGCATTTGACCCGTTTGATTTTCAGGCTTCTATCCGCGATGTGCTTGTATGCAAACCCGGCTTTTATCCGCTACTTTACGGTATATCAAAATGCAGCTAATACAATTCCCCAAGACTTGCGCAATGTCATGCTTATTTCAGGTCAAACAACACTTGGAGAGAAAGATGGAAAGATGGAGCGAGACAGAGAGAGAGAGAGAGAGAGAGAGAGAGAGAGAGAGAGAGAGAGAGAGAGAGAGAGAGAGAGAGAGAAGATTAACTTTTTTGCAGACATTAAATTCAGCTCCTACTTCTGAAGCCAGGAGTCAAACATTCCCTGCGGAAGTTTCGTTTTGCGCTTGGCTTCAAATTTGTTCATGCGATCAATCGTACCGACTGTCCTTGTTGCGACTTCTCGATTGCTTGAACGCGATCTTTCAGCATCAGGACCTTGCAGTGCTGCTTTGTTTCTGGATTCCTTTATGCCATCGTCGATTCGTCTGTATGACTGGGGTGACAGAGCCGCTCAGTCTTCGTTCCTTCTCCAAGTAGTAACATCGATCAGAGAGCGCTTTCGATGCGCTCTCCAAGACGTTTCCTGTTATGTTTATTCTAGACAGCTCTTGAGAATTCTGACAGGTGTAGTGCAGTCCACACCGACTCCACAGTCCAAATGACCTGCGTTCATTTCTTCAGCTGTGGTATCGAAAGATTCCTTTCAGGACCACGGAAAATCATCAAAATTTCAAAAAGGAGCTTCGAGCAACATTTGATTTCCTACATCGCGGTCGCTAGTTACGGGTCAAAAATCGTCTTAGGGACAAGAAAAGGCGGTCGCTGGTCGCGTTCAGCAGGTAGTCGCTAGTCACAGTGCATTTTGAATGTGGGACCGCCCGTGCCTGGCGAAATGGTCGGTAGTACCAGGCTGGTCGCTAGTCACGGTGGTCTTTAGTTACAGGTTTTACTGTAGTACCAGCCTGGTCGCTAGTCACGGTGCCGGTCTTTAGTTACAGGTTTTACTGTACATCGATATCGCAAGTGTACAGTCATGTACATATTCATGTCGTACTCGCAACACTTTCGGTGCATGCACGCTTTGTGCACCCCCCCCCCCCCAAAAAAGGGGGGAATCCCGTACCGAGCGTAAGTACCATTCTACTCGTTTAGCCGATAAAATAGAAATAACCGCTCGATCGATTTCTTATCGAGTAAGTAACGAGTAATCGATTTAATTGTTTCAGCACTATTTATTGAAGTGCCAAACTATGTTGCTCTAGCCCTGGATACCTGACGTTAGATATACCGTTCTTTACAATGTTTCAGACTATGATTGACAGTAAAACCTGGTTTAAGCGACCACCCCACGGTGCAAGGAAAAGCGGTCGTTAACCCTTTGTGTACCAGCCCCATCTCGAACCGTACCATATGGTACGGTTCGCTGCACTCCAATCAAGCGCGCCGTTCCCCGCCGCCGTAGCTCTGATCGACCCGCGTTTTTTTTGCGCTTGACAGCTGAGATCCCACTGAAAATGTTGATGTATGATATGGGTAGGTTGCCATTTGAAAGTATGGAGAACGAACGCGTTCAAAAGTATGCTTTGCAGCGCAAACAATTGTCGCTGTTTCGATCATGTTCTCGCTCAGTTTTCTGCTTGTAGCGAAGATGTAGCTTGTTCTAGGTCATGTCGACGTCTTCTAGACGTGGTGGACGATTGGAGAGATCGGCTGTGGCGATATCATCGCGGAATGCGACTCGAAATTGAAAATTTGTATCGCTGATCCCAGCGCAGTATTCGCTCTCAAAACAGGAGCGAGAGGGAGGGCAGCGATGGCCTAAAATCGTCAAGGCAGGCGTAATTCACCAGCCAGCGACTGCTTCTTGTCTTCTCTTTCACTTACCTGACGCTGGATGTGAGTAGCTGAAGAAAAATATAGATTTCGAATCTGAGACAAGAATTCAAAATTTGCAATTTTGAACCAATTGTTTTACCTCAAATGTGTGACAATATGACCATTTCCCTGGTATGTTGTTACTCTTCATGCACTGAGACAACGCTTATGAGGTTGTTTTGTCCCTATGTTCCCAGTACACGAGCACAAACTCATTCTCAGTCTATTTGTTTGTGATACCCTGGTTGGTCAGAAATATGCACAATTGGCGCGTATCTTTGGTATTCCACCTATGGCCTTCATATACTACTGCATGCTGTACCAATATCCATGCTTACCTGGGTGCAGTGATACATATGGAGTCAGGAAAACACAACTTGCATATACAAAAGTTGTCTAGATTTCATACCATGGTTGCTTCTTTGGCTGCGATAGCCCCTTACATACATTAGATGGCTGGTACATAAAGGGTTAAAGCCAGGTGGTCTTTAGAACCAGGTCCCACAGTGTCTGTGTAGAACTGTCCGTGCATGGAAAACGGCCGTTAAGAACAGGTGGTCACTAAAACGAGAGGTCGCTTACACCAGGTTTTACTGCTCTCACTCACTCCTTTCTTCCCGGTTGCCGTGCTTGTGACTTTTTTCCCTGCCGCCGTGCTCATATTAGTTATCTAACTATCTTCTTCTCTGTTTTATATATTTTTCTTTTCTCTTATTATCAGTGGGACCATTGTCATTAGGTTTAGGCCTGTTTTGGAACTCCACTCTATAATAAAGCCAAACAACAACAACTGTAGTTAAACATGGAGGAGGACTGTATATCTAGGTTCCGCAAGAATATTATTCTTGTCGAATAACATTTCGAAGTGTTAGGAAATTTGAGGCCACATGCCATGTGCTGCTCTTTTCTCTCCGAAACTCAACACTTGCAAGCCAGATACGATGGCTGGTTCGAGTCCCGGGGGTGTGACTGATGATTTTTTCTTTCTTTCATATCTGGCTTGCAAGTGTTGAGTTTCGGAGAGAAAAGAGCAGTACGTGGCATGTGGCCTCAAATTTCCTAACACTGAAAATTCTCCGTGAAGTCCAAATTTGGAATAACATTTCGGTTTTTTAAATGCACCAAAAGTTTGACTTGCCAGCTCAAATATTATGTGAGAAACCCTACCTCAGGCTTGCTAACGTTGAGAACAGCATATCCTGGCTTGTCGCTGTGCGACTGAGCCCCATCCATGGTGGTGTACATGTCGTCGTCGTCGCATCCTGACTTGCGGCTTTGTGCCCGAGACTCATGCCCCATGTCCGTGTAGACGTCCTCATCGTCGCCATGATCCACATCAGTAGCAGCAGAAACAGCAGCAGAAACGGCAGAAGTAGACGTGCTAGATCTTGACATGACTTCATAACAGTCACCAGCGCCTTCAGCTGTGGCTGGACCGCGAGAGCCACCGGAAATAGCACTGGCGGAGGAACTCTTGGAGCCAGACCGGCTCTGACCAGAGTCACACTTGGTGCGTGGATGCACCATGGATTCATAAGAAGATGAACCCTGCACGCAAGTAGCACACACATCATATGCAATGGAGGAAATAACTGACAAATCTAGGCTGCACATTATGCTCCGGATATACCTTGAATTTCCAAACCGTAGCTCAAAAAGGGGATGGGTGTTACACTCATGTGCGCGTTCTACTTCGGCAAATACGTTACATGCACACTTGTACACACACACACACACACACACACACACACACACACACACACACACACACACACACACACACACACACACACACACACACACACACACATATCTGTACATACATACACACCCATTCACGCACACGCACACTTGCACACACACACACACACACACACACACACACACACACACACACGCACACACACACACACACACATACACACTTACACACACGCATGTACACACACACACACACACACACACACTCACACATACATACACATACACACACCGCGTGCTTGCTCGCTCACCACCTACCTCTTGACGCTGGGGCGCCAAGCGTCCACGAGATGAATGTCGACGTCCGCTCGAATTAACTATGCCGTCTTGGAAGCTATTCCTCTGCGGCTGGCTATCCCCACGCGTTTGTTGTGATGCGAATGATTCACTGTGCAACAGATAAGGTATGAAACCATGCACACATATCCAGCCACATACACACACGCATACACACACACGCATACACACACACACACACATACATGTACATAAATACACACACGAACACACACGTACATACAAAAGTATATACAAAAGGCAGAAGAGAACGGAGACACTGGGCTAGGTACCGCCTAGGTTAAGATGCCGCCCTATGCTTAGCAGAAAAGGTGAGGATCATTGGCGCCGACGCAGCCACGCTACTAAACAAAAAAAATCAAAATTAGTATCAAAATGTCGACACCTGAATATGTTCTACCTCTCGCGCTACGGCACTGGTGTGATTTAGCGACCTGCATGTCATCGCCAGCACCTGGCTGCCACCTCCAGAGCCTGCCTGCCGTCATTTCACTTGACTTTCACCTCTCCTTCTCTCCTTTCTTTTCAACCCCCATGTAAAATCCGACACCATCAGCACCATGTCTCACTAATCGAATGTGACACTAATGTCGCGCTTTGCTACCTTTGGGCGCTTTGCTACCTGCCTGGGTATAATTTTTTAGCCACAAGATGTACAGGTTATCAGTTGTCTGAAGATTGCCTCAAACTCAGACATGCCCATCCCGGAAGCGATGGAAGCGAACAGCTGTGTTAGACATAGCAACTTGTGCTGGGATTACACCATTCAACAGCTTGCAAGGCCGATGAATTGACCGCCACACATTTTAGCCTGGTATCCACCACACAGCAGATTGAAGTGGCTTTTTCTGGCCAGTGAATCCCTATCAGTTTTCATTTTTCATTTTTTCCATTTTATCTTTCTTTTCTGACACACACGCCACACCACATACTCCAGCATACACGGGCTGTTGGCAACCACCCTGGAGAATGAAAGAAGAGCTAGGAGAATGAGAAAGAGAAGAAAGATGTGTGCACACATATTCGTCGGGAATTGAACCCGCAGCCTCTCGATTGGAAATCGACTGCACATATCACTGCACCATACGGGACACACACACACACAGCATGTACCACACGCACGCACACACACACACACACACACACACACACACACACACACACACACACACACACACACACACACACACACACACACACACACACACACACTGTACTGCACTGTAAAAAAAAATCTTCCCGAAGGGAACTCACGATGGCCACTAACACCCGGTAAACCCTAGCGCGTAACGCAGCGCCTAACGGTGGGGGTGAGTGGATAAGTCTCACAACCACTGGCACAAGTGACGAGAACGACCCCATTAGCCGCATCCATGTACCCCTTTTGCCTGTACTGCACTGTAATTGCTCACTACCAAAATTGGTCACATGGGTCTCCCCGGGAGAGGAGAAAGAGACTCAAAAGGAATCTTGGAAAGATGACTCAATTGCCTCTCGAGTCGCCCAACAGCTGACACCTCCTGGAATCCCCAAACTCTGGGTGGACTTGGAAATGATCCCACTTACAGGCTTACCACACCTCAGTAAGCGGGTGAGGAAAAGGTGCAGAAAAAAGGATTGACGGCATCAGGGTATCCGTACCGGGATCCAAATGCAGTTACCCCTGCCCCCCAGTGAATAATACTTACTAGTGTGGGCGGTTAAATCAGAGTGGACACACACACACACACACACAAACACACACACACATGCCACAGATACCCATTGTCAGAAGAGATGGTAGCAATGTAACAGTACACTATTTTAAACATGCCATTTCATAGTGAGCCCTGACAACGACGACGACGACGACGACGACGACAACAACAACAACAACAACAACAACAACAACAACAACAACAACAACAACAACAACCATGGTGGTGGCGACAGTAGCATCCGCAATAGTAGCAACAATATCACAAGCAGCAGCACCAGCAACTATAGCAGCAGCAGCAGCAGCCAGCACTATTACGCATGTGCGTGCGGCTTGGCCACCAAGTAACAAAGTTCCTTCGTGATTCAACTGGGGCTCGATCGGCTCACATGGACTGTCACTAGCGCTGCCGACGGAATCCTCTGAGTTTGCAGCCGACTTGCTCTCAAGACACCCTGGCAGCCGACTTGCTCTCAAGACACCCTGGTAGACGACTTGCTCTCAAGACACCCTGGTCAAGACATTCAGCATGCAGCGCCGCCATAACTTATGACAGCCTGCGCCGCAAGTGGACCAGAAATTTTCGAGCCCTTTTTCTCGAACGTTCCAAAATGGGCCAACACGTGATTTCTACCAGACCTGCTCACACATCAGATTCCTGTTCTTCATACCTCCTTTGTTGACTATTGATCATGCGAAAGATGTACTCCGCTGTAGATTCACCAGAAGGAGGCAGCAGGAACAGTCTTCCTTCTCCACACGATGCAGATGTGCCGAATTCCACAACTAGATGCTTGTCTGTGATGAGCAAACCGACATAGACAAGCGGACAAACATTATTACACTATTTTGAAACAGTAAACCTGTCAAGGCAACCACTCCCTCCGATAAGTCTCTTATTGGCCACAGGCCATCGTGAGAATAAAAGATTTCAAACAAGTCGACAACGTGTCCAAGAAGACCCGTGACTGCAAGCATGACCAAGGGATGTTATGTGTCCAGTACAATGACACTGGGTGGAAAGACCACCTGTATACGGGGACCACACTTGTCACATCCCCCTGAGCGGCCAACTTAGACAGGTTTAACTGTAACCGGCTCACTTGGGGTGTGCAGACTCTATTGCAGACACTTCATGACACAACATGTGGATGCATGTATTTCATTTTTGAAATAGTTTGTACATGGCCAGCAATCGAGGACATCTGAGAGTTGTAATTTTTGTACTCCTCCGAGGTGTGATTTTTGGCGTGCTGGGCCAAGCACAAGGAAGCTATCTGCAAAAAAACTGCAGAAAATGGTTGTTGTTTGATCCTTTGTTGTAATCTTTGTTTCTAGTCAAGCTAGTTGCTGTTTGGAGCAGAAACGCTGAAATTGACTATTTTCTGCATGTACTCATACATGTACTCATGTACTCAGGCATGCAGTCTCACTCGTATTTTAGCTCTTTTTTTGGAATGGATGCTGCTCTGCGCCCCTTGGTGAACCTTTCCTGCGCTCGTGGAGCAGCTGAAAAGGACCACTGGTATGTCTGGTTCCTGGTTTGAGAGTGGAGAGTCGACTTTTGTGCCTTGAAAAAGGAGTAGAGAGCGATACAGGTACGTCTGTGGCTTATTTTTGAGTGCTCCTCGTACATTTTTGATCGTGATAGAAATTTTCAGACCAAAGTCAGACCAAAGTCAGCGCGATGATGGCCGTACAGTTTTCTTGTGGATTTTTTAGTTGTTTCATCTCGTATCTATGTCAGTATCGTGATGGTGAAGTGGAGAGGGTGATTTTCTTCCTCTAGGCTTCGTTCGGCCGACTTTGCTTCGTCCTCGTTGAAAAGTGATCCTGAAAAAAAGGTCGATTCGCAAAATTTTGTTGATTTTGAATGTACGTGGTGACATGCGATTGCTGGCTATGAGCTGAGAGACTGTTTTGGGGCAGTGGTGTATACTTGTGTTGAACTGTAACCTGCCTAGGGTAATACATGATGGGAAGGTGTGGTCGATAAGCCATGGGTACACGACTTCTGGTAAGATATGAGACAAGCAGACCTGGATCCAATGCACATGGAAAACATATACAAACTACTACAGGAAACCCTGGTTTAAGCGACCACCCGGCGGTGCACGCAAAAGCGGTCGCTAAAACCAGGTGGTCTTTATAACTAGGTCCCACAGAGTCTGTGTAGAACTGTCCGTGCAAGGGAAAACGGTCGTTAAGAGCAGGTGGTCGCTAAACCCAGAGGTCGCTTACACCTGGTTTTACTGTATCTTGAAATTACAATAGTTCAACAGCTTGAAGTAGTTGTTTCCGGACCGTAATAGCAATTTAACATCCCAATACGGTCTTCCAATACTAGTAGGTTAGCACTCTCCGTCTGTCAAGTTGTTTCCCTGATCGACCTGCAAAAGTAAGATATCTATGACAAAATCTCTTGTGACTGCCATCTTAATCATGTGCAGTTATGCTCACGGAAAGCCGACCCCAAGTGCAAAACTGGACCAGTTCCGACGACCTCATTCTATTTATACGTGCGTACGTCCAGCTGTATGTGTGCCTCTTCCGGGCAATGGAGCTTCGAAATTAGCTAAAGACCACATTATCGTAAAGGTTTTTTCGCATAAGCCAAATCGGCGCGCGGAAGCACCGGCGATGAGCCAACTCCCGGTCAGTCCCGCATCTGGTTCGAGTACTGCTGTAGTACCAAATCTTATACAAAGTAGTACAGAATGTGCTAAAAGGCTACAACAGGATTGCTTGAATTCCTTGTTTCTTCAGTAGTTCAAGGCCTTTCGGTGATGGCCACTCGGTGCTATCTTTTACTGCAGATCATGAAACTACTTCTACACCTTTTGGTGCAGTCTAGTAAGCGATCGTATCTAAATTATTCATGCAAAGGTTGATGAAGTCACAAGAACTTGCCAATGTATCCTTCGTATTCATTATTTGTTTCAATTGCATTTGTCTCATAAGTTGCACAACAGTCAAGCAGATCATCCGAGAAGGAACGGGTTGGTATGCTGACTTTTAAATTCTAATATGCCACCTTGTAGCGGCTACAAGAATGGCGAACGGATCTCATCTTTAACTTCAATTTATTTTAGGAAAATTTGGGATGAGTCTTGGTTTGAAATTTTGACAAAGTCTGGGTCCCGGCACCGGCGATCACCGGTGCGAATGACTCACAAAACACTTTTGGTGAAAATTGTACGGGATCGGTGCCGGGGCCGCTCGCAAGACTTGGGCACTGCCCAACTTTGCAATGTTTACCATATGATTTTGTCATGACTGCACTGGTTGCGCCGGGAGAGGTTGCAAGAGGCCCACTCCCGGTGACTCCCGGCCATATGTGGACCAACCCTTAAAAGATATATTGCTTACCTTGGCTGGAGACCCTGCGTATCGCTGAGTGAGGGCAGCAAAATATGGGATCCTTGCGACGTGGCAAAGCCAGAGCTAACCCCTCTCGGTTGAGCAACAGGGAATGCGGGGCCTTGACTTTGGACACCGTGTTCCAGATATCGCCGAGTTGCATTACTTCCACACCGTGCCATACATGGTCTTGAAGAGAAACAAACGAGGACAACGGTGGACCAATTTCATCATTAAAATGATCTACGCATACTTTTGAAAAGTGCAAAGGAAAGGAAAACACATAGCTAATTCCAGTAATCACACACGCACTTATGGACACAGACAAACACATGTGTACGAACTTTTGTACGCACACGTGCACATGCACAGACTAGCATGCCCATGCACACATTATAGTTATAGTAGTGGAGTACTTTTTTTGTTTTCCTGGTGGTGGTGAGGTGCTCCCTTGTGAAGGTACCTGCCAGGGCCATCCATTGGCTATGGCCAGCTACGATTCAGCCAATGGTGGACAAGCTGGCCAGTTCCTATTCAGACGTAAACCAGGTTTGGTATGGTGATGATGGCGCTGCTGGTAGCGGCCTGGCCCAGGTTTGCAGCCACTGGAATGACATTGCAGCTGTGGGTACGCCGTACGGCTACATGACCCAAATGCAGGGAAGGCAATTCTTGTCGTTAACCCGCACTTGCTTCAGCAAACTCGTGATACCTTCATAGACACAGGGGCCTACAAGTAACTGCAGATGACGCTCCTTATCTTGGAGATGCAATCGGAATATAGCAGTTCTGTGGCGCCCATGTGCACACCAATACCAAGCATTGGGGGGGGGGGGGGGGACTGTCACGGCGCTCCTACTGCACAGCATCTCAGACCCACGCAGCATACACCGGGACCACTCGAGGGCTGGCTTCAAAATGGCAACTCTGTCTCCGCATCATGCTCTGCAACGAGAAGGACGCTCAAGTTATTGATGAAATGTTTTAAGCAAGAAATTGATTCCGGCCTGAACTGGACACGAGGTGGATGATGGAGGCGCGTTCCGCCGCCCCCTTGCTCTGACAACCCGTTTCTGGGGACTGGTTCTTCTACAGGGTGCTACATCTGCAAGAGTGGTACTTAACTTTTCGAAGCGCGTAGCAAAACCGATGGTCAAACTTCGCTTGGGTGCGGCAGAAGCAGACGAGGACACAGAAGTCATCTCAGGTGTCAGTGACGGCTCTGTATTGCCATCAATGGCCGTCCTTCCCTCCCCCGAATGCGTCGCAGCCATCCAGCAGCCCACATAACTGCCCAACACTGAGTACTCTTCCTGCATTCTGCCTGCCTTGTTGGGATGTAACGGGCATGATCGCACCGATGTCGTCATTGCGGGCCAGGCCTGGTGGCGGAGTGGCACCTGATCAGGTGATTATCATCCATGCCTGAGTGGTAATCAGGCTTGCACACGCGACTGTTGCAGTTCTATTCTCTATTATAAGCGCTGTCCTTATAACTTATCTTTTCAACACCTCTCTACCCCGTGCTTATATTGGAAACCGCGCTTATATTGGAGACAGCGCTTATATTTTTTCAATCAATACATCCATCCAGAGCAAGAAGAAATACATGCAAGATATCATGCATGCAGCATTGATGTCAACCAAGACGGTGCTAATAATAGAGACTGTGCTTATAATGAGACTGTGCTTATAATGAGACTGTGCTTATAATGTTTTGAAAGGTGCTCACAATGTGCTAGTAATAGAGACCGTGGTAGTAATGGAGACCTGTGCTTATAATAGATATTATACGGTATTTTCATTTGAATGTGTTGTGTTTCTGTGTTTACTTTCTGTTCTCACATGTTTTGTTGAGCTTGAACTGGGAAAGATATTGCGTCAAGTGTATATTTGTTTTACTATCCATGCAACCTTACATACAAAAAAAGCATATGTCCAGTCGAACCTGTCAGGGCGACAACTCGGATAAGGCGACCACCTGTGGCTAGAAGACTACTGAAACCAGGATCAAGGGATGCTATTTCCAGTCGAATGACCCTGGATAAGGAGAGGGTAACAGAGACCACCTTTTGAAGGTCCCATGAGCGGTCGTCTTAGACAGGTTTCACCGCATATGGAGTATACACATGGGCATGTCGACTGGTATGGATTGCATGGCACGTAATCTTCATACTCAAAGCCCAACATCTCATATTGCTGGTAGGTAACTACGTCATGCCCCGACAATTCAAACTAACAATGGGCTGATGCAGTATAACTTTATCACCATTGTTGTTGTTCCTGTTGTTGTTGTTGTTGTTGTTGATTTCTATTTTACTTCGCAAGGCCAAAACAGGCGATGGTGCCCAATTCTATGGAAGCGAAGTTGTCTGATTGGGTTACCTTCAGAGCACAGTCGGATGTTTTCATAACAATCACACAGGCACACACAAGCGCCAGGTAAAATTTGTCAGAAAATTGAATGTTATGCCTGAGTACAGAAAATATTGCAATTTCATGGGAACAGTTAGGCCTAAGCAACAGAAGGTTAGCCCGGGCTGGCCTTGCAAAACCTAATACCGGTATAATGATGCATACGTATGGAGTAGTGAATAAGTCACATTCCCTACATGTAGTACTCCCTCGTTTGATATATTTCTACCTTCTACATTTTTCTTTATTGATTACTTAATCATTGTCGTCTTCCTCTTTCTTATACATTTGCAAGGACTATGGCAATACGCCCATTTAGAAGGCAGC